CCCCCCCCCTCATCTGTCCCTCCAGTCCGCACTGGAGGAATGGAGAGGGGAGGAAGAATCCCTACAGGGAGAAGATGGTGAACTGAGCGATCAGCAGTTTGTGATCACTCAGTTCTTGGGTTGATGTGTGACAGCTTCAGTGTCACATGTTGGCTCTACCTATGAGGATAAATATATATTTCACTCATCTCATAGTTCTCCTTTAACATTAAAATTAAGATGTGTCTGGTCCTAGTAAGTTCTAGGTTTACTGTCTGGAATTAGGAATATAAGGCTATGCAAAGTGTAATGCAGTTTAATACATTTCTAAACAAACAACACAGGCACACCAAATTGCCCAGTTCACAAGATTTATTAGGGTAAAGATTAAAATGCATTTATTGCATCTACATAGAATCCTGAGAACATGGACTCACTCACAGCATACATTGATATGAACCCTGTGGTCTGGATCAACAAATTACTGAGAAGTCTCTTTTCAACCGGCAAGAGACAGAGCTCCTCTCAGATCTCAGTCAAGGCATTTCCAGCAGCCAGAGTCAGTCAGATGTATGGAAACCATCCCTCTCTGGTAGCCTGTGAACTCCTATAAGTGCAAAAGTTTTTAATTGTCCCATAAATGTGGTGCCAAACACTTTTTTCTTCATTGGTTGTAATTGACAGCTTTGAACTTACAGTAAGGGTCCATACATACATGCTACAATCTGGCTGTACAATCTGTGTACAATCAACATTAGATTTACTGAAACTATGTAATATGAGGACCTACCTGAACTACCTAATCAGTCTGTATCCAATCAGGCAGGCGTTTTCACTAGATAGTTGTTGGCAGATCTATAGAAAATTGTACAATCAGATAGTAACATGCGTGGTGAGCTTCGATCAAAATTCATTCTTTCAGCATTACTGAGATGTTTTTGCATTAGGGTCAAAGACCAAATCAATAATTTATGTCCATTATCCATTGTTTATACTGTAAGCTGATACTAACTGAACTGTACTGTACTGTTAGCAAGTCATGGATGCTTTTTTTATACTAAAATTAACTTAAGGTCAAAGCTACACTGAAACCAAGAAGATAATTGCATTTAATAGGCTCAAACTTGTTTTTCTAAATGTAAATGCAAATCACAAATATTAACACACAGCTTATCACCCCCTAAAACAACATCTTCAGGTTGGTAATAACTGGGAGCTACATCAGCTGTCTATAGAGGAGAGAAGAAAAAAATCAATTTGAGGTGTTGATTAACTAGAGAAAAAATCACAAGATAATATAATGATTTTAAGAAATTAGAAAATATGGTTTTTGACAGATTAATGTTAAATTTTGGTGGAAAAATAAAGATTACACATCTTAGTGACAATTATGTTTGTAAATTAAATATTTTAAATGAAAATCATCATGAGATTAAATATGTATGTTGTTATAATAACTCACTCATCTTGAACCTATTGTCTGATATTCAAGGGAATAAAGATCCTAAATGGATCAGAGTTTTTGTAAAACATAATACAATTGATGTTGTTGTTGTCATATATAATAATATTTAATAAACCAAGCTGGGTTTAATTTATCAAAGTATCGGTGTGAAAATGTTTTTATCACATAAGGATTACTTTTTTAGTTTTGAATAGATCTGGGAAGGGTAATATCTCCTACTATTTTATTGTATGCTGTTTGTGACCTGCTACGGAGATTTCCCTTCTTGTTTTGGAGACACAACAGTAAGTGGGAACAATTCTTCCCAGAGTGGGGGGAATTCCCATCTTAGACAATTGTCATCTGAACATTTATCCCTGTTGGAATATTTTCCTTCTCCTCTTGCTTCCATGACAGCTTTAGAGTTTTCAATTGACCCTCACTTTCTGTCTTAGTGACAATTGTAACCAGGACAAATAGAGGGGTAAATTTCCCCTGTGGAGACACAGACCACAATAAAACTTTGCAGTGGGTCTAACCCTTACGCACTCTATCCAAAACTATAAAAAAAGTTTTGTCTCTGTGCACTTTAATATCCTGTTTAGTATTATTTTAAGCATTTTGTTAAATTAAAACTGAAGTCCTTTAAAATACATTAAACTCATATATGTACTTTTTTCAGCTCCACTAACAGATAAACCACCAAAGTTACTCCAGCCTTTGGAAAATAAATTAACAATCCAGGAAGCTCAAATTGGTAAGAAATATTACATTATTTTCTATTAATATAAATACATTTTAGGGTCATTGTTGTGTCAGCAGTCATAGTTTATGACATTTTGTAGGACATTTTCTGCTCACAGTTAATTTATTTTTTTTATTTGTAAAATATTGAAAAGAAGTTAGTGAAAGTTACTTTTAAGTTGACTTTTTTTGCAAAATGTTCCATGTATAATATCTTAAGGAAAATTACATTTCTTTCCTTTTTTAAAAAGTGAAACAAACAACTGAAGAAAAACCAAATGTTTTTTTCTATATGAAACCTCCTCATAAAAGATAAATGTGCAGATTTCCAAAGCACGTTGAACTGATAGAGTACTTGTAAATTCATTGTTTAAATTAACATTGCTTTCAGAAACGTCTTTGACAAATGGGCATGTATTTTCTTTCTTATTCTTTTTACACTGAAGAAATGCATTTTAATGCTGTAATTAGTAATGATTAGATCACAGTATTGTCTTCTGTTCCTGAAGTTTAGAGTATAGCAATTAAACTTCCCAATCATAGCATATTTTGTAAGATATTATGAATTATTATAAATTTAAAGGACTGAGTGAACATGAAGTATATGCTTAAATCTTATTCTGTTGTAGTTTTTTTACATATGTTTTGTCTTACATATAAAAACATGTGCCAAATGGTAAATTATGTTTAAAGTGTCACGCCACCACAGGGTCACTTTCAGTAGCCCACCTGTAAAAAGAGACACTGGGGGGAATTCACTGAATGCTTTATGCCTCTTTTCTGGCAGATTCAGTTAGTTCTTATAAGTGGCACTTTAAGAATCTGCCACTATGGAGATTAGAAAACTGGTGAAATACCAGTTCTCAGAATGGGGCATGTATGTACTGGGAAGTTGTCATTAATTTTACAGCTTCTGTCATGATTCATTGGTTTCTAGGACACTGGGCTGCATGCATCCTAGCAACAAACTACACATCTCCAACCCCATCTGGCAGCTAAATATAAACAAAAAGGCTGAGGATGCTGGTTGACATCATTACTTAAATTGGATGATGATGTCAGCCAGCATCTCCCACCCCTTTAATTACATTTACCTGTAGGTCAGGGCATCTTCCTATTGGCAGCTGAATGGGGCAGGGATGAATCTCTTAGCAACCAATGATGCTGACAGTGGGTGGAACCTGATGGGGAATTTGAGAGCCCAGTTCCCCATCAAGTCTGTCTCCCTTTGATTGACAGAAGGCAGTGGGTGAATTCCATAACCAATAGCCGGCCTACTATGGAATCCACCCACTGCCTGATTTAGGTTGGTAGCAAAGCAGACTGACAGCATCCTTGACAACCAGTGATGTTGACAGTGGGTGAAGCCTGATGGGGATTTGGGGATGGGGATTTGGAGTGATTGACAGCAAGCAGTGGGAAGATTTCATACTATATAGCCAGCCTACTATCCACCCGCTGCCTGCTGCCAATGAGAGCAGAGCAAACCTAATGGGGGAACTAGGTTTTCAGAATTCTCTATCAGGGTCCACCCACTCACAGCATAAGTTCTCAGCTTCTGTGCCTGCCTGTGTGACAGATGCAGTGGATGGGCAAGGTTGAATACTGCTCTAGCTCGTACATGCTGTCTTGCTGTATTAGCCAGCAGGAGGAACCACAGTGGCCAGTAGGGAAGTAGGTATTATAAAACCCTGAAAATGTAAAATATATGCAGTGGCTGGGGAACAGCAAAAGGTAAATATATCCACGCTTCTGTTAAAAGTGGGCTATTTAGTCAAAGTAAATATGTGGTGACAGGGTCATTTTAAATAAGATATTTATATGATATTAACATTTTAACATTACAATGTATTTGCAAGAGAGAATATCTTAGCTTTTTTTTTAACTGTCATGCATTGGAGAATAAGTATTATATAATGTGCTATTTACTGATGTCGGAGTCTTCTATAATTCAACACAATATATTAAGGGAAAGCTGTAATTACTGAATTGGGGTTGAAACTGCAAGCTCTAGGGCTGCTATGTTACTCCCTTACCCTTATTTTACTGCTTAATGAGTAACTTACAAGTGTACAATCTGTGAATTGTCAGCATACACTTCACTGATTCAAAGTCAATTACTCACTATGTAGTAAAGCCAAGATAAAGAGTACAACCTCAGAGCTTGAATCTTTAAAATTAATTGTTAATGACAGCTTCCATCTTTCTAAGCTGCAGGTCTCCTTTGACTTTACTGCTACCTGCAACCTGAAAAGCAATCATGACATTTGTAATGTGAATGTGCACTGTTAAGCTGTTACAGTAATGAGCCCTTACCTCTTGAGATGTTACTTGTTGCCTCATTACCTACATGTATTCTCCCCCTGTTAGGGCAGACATTTGAGCTCAGTTAAATGCTGTACCACAGAGTAGTTAACATTCCTCTAGCCTCAGTTAATAACCAATACAATCTGTGGGCTGGTGCAAGAAAGCATATTGCCAATTAACTAATCTATTTTTTGTGTTTTTTTCAAACATCACCTTTGTTATATGACAGTTAGGTTTAAGCAGGAGACAGTACAGTACTAGTAAAAAAAATACCCACGTGTGGCAAATTTCCATTTATGACCAATGCTTTCTGAAATGAGTTTAATCTTTTTGTTTCTTTTGATATGATGGCTTGCTTAGGTTTTATTTTATTTATCAATGTGTTTGACTTTATTAACTCCTTTTTTAACAATGTTTCTGGTATCTTTGCTGGTTTTCTCAGCTGATAGCTAGGATCTGTAGGTTTATCCATAATTGTGACATTTGTAATAAGTAAAAATTATTTAAATGATAAGATTAAGTTATTTTATGTCAAATATTTAAATGATATTAAGTTAAACCACCCTCATCTTGTGACACTATTTCCATTATTTTTGGTCACTTATTATAGGCATTTTTTTATTGGAGCAAAAACTTATAGTGCCAACAAAATATTTCCCTTCCCGATACCTGGATAAGGATTCAATTTAAAAGAGTAATACCAAATGTTTACATGACCCTTAAAGTGAAGGCACCAGCATAATGTTAATCCTACCTACAGAAATAAATAATGAAAGTGCCATAAAAACATCAGGTGTCAGGATTCTGCTGGTCTGCTTCCTATTTCTAAAGCTGCAACCTAAAAAGAAGAATCACTAATAGTCATATGACACTGGGAGGAGACTGACTCTTCAAAGCACTTAGTAATCATGACAAAGAGATGTACTATGCAGTCATTGAACCTCTCTGGGCAGGGAAAAGAGGCAGAGAGATGCTGGTACTTAGGCACTTAGAGTTTCACCCATCAGTTGAAATATGTTCCTATCAAGTGAACTAAATCAAACGCTAGTTTCTAGTGGCTCCCTCACTAAATTCTACATGCATTACCTCCTATTGATGTCACCTGAAATAGACATTATCAAGAGTTCTTCAGTGGGATTCAGCAATATAATAATAATGTAATAATAATGAAATAATGTAAAGTAATAAAAAACAAGGAGTAAAATTAAATACACTTCTTAAAGTGGACCTTTACCCCATTCACTAAAAATCACATCAGCATGCAGCTCTGCATGCTGATTTAAATGAATCTTACATTCATTAGTTAAACAAACTTGTTTTTCAGTTTTTAATTTACTTAAAAATAGAATTAATCTACTCCCTGGTCCATTTCTGACACAAATGATGTAATGTGCCAAAACATTACATCCTGGGAATGTTACCTCAGCAGAGCATTGCCATGAGATCTCAGTGAAAGGCATTTTTCTCCCCTGAGATGATGTGCATGGTCCTAGTCACATGTGCCAGAGTTCCAGGAAGTAATGGGAGAACTAGTAACCTGCCCTTAGTTAAAATGGCCACTGTCAGAAGAAAAGAGAAATAAGGTATGCAAAGAATACAAAGCCTGCAATTATCTATAAGTATCTGTTTGTGCAGTAGATTGCCATTACTAAACATGTTTAACCTCCCTGGCGGTAATCCCGAGTCTGGCTCGGGGTGAATTTTCAATGCTAGGAGCGGTAGCCCCGAGCCAGACTCGGGGCTGCAGAGAAAAGTGACACTTACCTTGTCCCTGCGAGCCCGCTGCTTCCTCTGCTGCATGCGGCCTGAAAATGAAACTAAAAGCCGGCATCTGACTTTTAGTTTCGTTTTCGGGCGTCACAGCAGGCGGGAAATTCAAAAGTGAAAAGTTGTTATGTACACAGAATACACACAATACAATGTAATCTGCTATGATTACACTTATGTATCAAACTATTTCACTTCAATTTTGTCCCTAGAGCTTTGTCCAGTGCCCTGCCTGACACTTTTTCACAATTATAAGAAATTATAATATAATAAATAATTATACAAAATTATAATAAAATAAAAAAAAAATGGTCAATATTATAATTTTTTAATTTTGTGTTTCAAACTTTATCATACCTGGGATGTCTACTGGACTCTTGTTTGGACAGATTTAGGTGAGTTATTCCTAAGATTTACTAAGAATTACAGGCCTACAATATAAACAACAAATTTCCATGCAAAAAATTGTACCACTTTTGGTACAAAATTCCTGACATAATCATACCGCCAGGGAGGTTAAAGGTGTGTTTGTTGTTACTTTAAAGATATGGGTAAAGTTCCTCTTTAAGATAAGTCATTATCATAGCCTAACTCCTAAACCCATTGTTAAGCTTAAAACATCCCCTAAAGATATACTGTATGTAAACCCCTTCACCTAGATCTTAAAGTGAATGCAACCCTAAACCTAATGTTGACATTTAACCTGAACCTACTCCAAAACCGAAACTTAAGAAGTATTATACTATATAAAAGAAACAGTTAAACCTTTACTGTAATATTAATAATAATTCTCAAATTACTAAGCCAAAGCTCCTACATTTAAAAACCCAGAGCCTAAAGTATTGCTCTAAATTCTAATGATCACTTTCCCTTGAGAGCTTAGAATACAGTTTACACTGCGTGAACAGGTTTGTAGTATATGATCTATCACAAAGGATA